AAATACTGTCTTACCCACATACTCAAAACTCAAGACCTACACAATTTCTTATGCGTGCAGAGGCAAAGCTTTTATTTGTGTACAACGGTGAATGAACAGTATAACAATATTATATAATGCTCTAAATTTGTCTTTGTAGAACACGAGGTTTAATATGAGCTTTCAAGCACACAATACAACACAACGATTAATATTTTTTTAACAATAAAAGAGTTAATGTATGGTAGTTTCGAGCTTTTCACTATTAAGTATATTACCCTCCATTAAGCCTTGAAAATACTAGACGCATGAAACTGTTTTATACCATTAATTCGAGCATTCTGTCTCGCAACGTAATATAATGAACATTTCAAAAACAAATTTCTTTCATACAATATTTTTTTCAAACTATTATTTTGGTCGAATAGGCTTTAAAAAAATATGTTTAGACGTTCAGTGGTGAACACCGGTGGGTAAGGGGTCACAACCCCCCTCCCTCTGCGACATGTTTTCCACCATTAATTTTTTTTTAAACTAAATTTTACAATCAGAAATATAATTATTGCTCAACCCTCTTCGAAAAATAATCTCGTGTGCACTACTGCAGACTTTTATAATTATGATTAACATTTATAAAATATGTTTACACTAATTAGTATTAGAATGTACATAATTAAGATTAAAAAAATATTAGTTTAAGAAAAGAATATAAAATATTACTTAGTACCTACAGGTATAAAAACATTTAATTATATATTTTGAAAACAAAATTCAACTTTTCAGGTCAAATATTTCCTGTGAAAAAATATAGTAATCACCATTTATGTCACACAAATTGGGCAGAGGTGTGTTTGTTCTGATTAAGAGAAATTCAGATAAAGCGATGAGTTTGTAAGGATAATGTGTGAATCGGTCCCAAGAATTGAGCCAATAATATGAGTTTGTCTGGATTAAATGGTGACTACAGTATATAAAGAATTAAGAGGGCAAGTCCTATAGATATTTCCATTCAGATATAAAATGGTTAACATTGCAATTAAATAAGACTGGTATACAATAAACTTGAAACTCAAGATGACAAGAAATAAAAAATATTTTATTTATAATATACAATAAATTAAGTTGTAGGTGTGCGTATGATTTGCAGCTGCATACTCTGAATGCAACGCGTTTTCCTTCTGGATGTCTTAAAGATAAATAAAAATCATCATAACATTTTGTTTTCAAGTACAAAAAAAATAAAGAAGAATAAAGAGGTGTGAAGGAGGATATAGCATGGCTGTGTGAAAAAGATAACAGTATGTCATTGAATAGTCTAGTCATACAAAGGAGGAATAAATTAATAAGTAATAAGACTAAAATATATTAAACACTAAAACATGAAAAAAAAATGATTAGTGCAATGAGAAATGAATTGCCAAAACACATACATTTTTACCAGAAAATTAAACCATTAAAATAATGATGATGGTGTGTGGTGGCGGTGTTTGCATAAGCTGAAAAAAGGTCTTTTTAAGAGTTATTTTTAGGTGAAAATATGAAATATCTTGAATGAAAGATCTTGTATTAAATTTTTAAGTCTAAGCCATACAAATTTCATATTTTTAACATTTTTAATTACAAACTAATTGTGGTTTTGTCAAAATTTGAACTTTAAATGAGCATAAAAAATGAATGTGCCTTTTTGTTTTTATTTTTAAATAGCTATAATAAAAACTTATGATAAACCTTAAATTACATTTTAGAACTTTTAGATTGAATAAATTATTTTTTATTGACATTTATGGAAGAAAAACTAAAATTAATCAAATACAATCCAAGCAATGACTAATAAAGGTTACCAAACAATTTTCAATTTTCGACCTCCCAAAGGTCCAATTTCTTTCCAAAAACCTCAATTGAAGTTTATGATCAGAGCATTTTTTTTATTAGAAAAGTTGAGAATTTGAAGTTTTACAAAATTTTCAAATACCTCATCTAACTATCTGAAATTATTAGACTGGACGAAATAAAAATGTAATTAATTTTCAAGCCCCCCAAAAATTGAAAAACCCTGTGTACACCACTGTTTACAACTATACTCAGGTAAGTAGGTACCTCTAACATTTCTAAAATTTTAATATACCTATCATTTGAGAATTAAATATTGGTCTAGAATTAACTAAAAATTGGTTTATTTTTCCATTTTATAAATAATTTAAATTTGTTTTTGTGAAATTGAATTAAAAATTAAAAAGCCCTCTTGTAAATAAGCATTTGGCTTATTAGCTCCGTTGATTACATAAAATATATACATGTTTTATTTAGATAGTATTAGACAGTAAGAATTATTGTATTGCTGTTTTTATTTATTAAATCAAAGAAGTAGCTAATTATTACATTGTACACTAAATCAATATAATTATGAATTATAATCAATCATATTAAATGGAATACCTAATTAGAAATATCTCAAAAATATATCAGTACTTTAATAAAAATAGTTTATTTTATTATTAATTAATCAAATTAATATTTTACATGGAATATGCCTACAACTGAAAATAGAAATGATATCGTACCCACTACCTACATAAATCTCTCTCTATATATATATATGAATATACATTTGTGTCTCTTATGCCTGCCTAAACGGCAGGTTTCAATAGTCTGTCTGTACAGCAAAGATTTTGGTAACATTTTTTGTGTGTGTTTGAGTGGTTCTCTAGATGATTTAGATTCACAATTGAACCTGGTAGATAAAGGCAGCTCAAACAGGGATTTTGAGATTTAAGAAAGAAATAATTATTTTTATTATATATTGGTTGCTATTAGTTAATAGAAGCATGCATTAAATAAAATTTTCAGAATGGCTGAGTTGCACTTATACCCTCTCATCGGCGTGTCCGCAAACAAAATAAAACATAATATTATTCATAAAGAGTTGACAATTTGAACGGGCAACAAAGAGCACAGGATCAGCTAATATTTTCTAAAAAACTAAAATAATAAATAAAATCTGTTCAAGAATATGTAAAAATTGATTTCTAACAACCTAGGCATAGTCTTCTTTTATAAAATCGTACGGAATATACATAATATACTATTATCTTTAAGTCTCAAATATAATTTATAGGATTATTATGGCATGCCAAGTTGCATACATTTTTGGATGGTCCCCAATCTTAGGAAAATCAACAATAATAACATCATGCCATGCCATATTATCCATTAAGTATGTATAAAAGAAAATATTGAAGTACCCTAAAACGTAGTAACATAAACCATCATAATATATCAAATAATTAATACTAATAAGGCTAGTACTCTGTATACAATCAATTTGACAAATTTCCTATACTTTTAACTATTAAGTGATAACAAAGTATATGAGTATAGACATATAGTTGAGAAAAGTAGACATCTGAAATGTCTAATAGGTAATTAAAAATAAACAATTTCAACCTAATAACATTGATTAAACATGAGATATTATAAAGTCTATGAATCAATACTATTAACCATTAATATCTGATAAAATATTTTTTTTTATTTCCTATATAATAATAAAAACCTCAATATAAGCAATTAAAACCAAGATCATTAAATATCATTGGCAATAACTTTTAGTTTATGCCAACCAATCTCACAATAATTACCAAATGTAGTATAGGAAAATTAAATAATTACCTATCTACTTCATTCATAAACTTGTTTATAAGTTTATGAATCAAACAAATAAGTTGTATACATATGCATATAAGTATATCATTTATAAATGTATTTCTTATTTATAGCATTTATACTTTAGTATAAATAATTTAAGAAATACTAGATAATTGCCAATGGAGTATAGGTGTTGTAAGCAATCTGCCATACTTGTTATGATTTAAAACTCTTTTTGGCCATCTGCCATCAACTATGACAATCAAAATATTTGGTAAGCCCTCTTGCCCCTAATTATGAGAGAAGTAGAACTAAGGAATAGAGACAATCCATCTACTAAAGTGATAAAATATGAAAAAAATACACAACTTTAAAGCAACTTGATTTTTCCTTAAAACTTAAATCTTTATGGTGCATTACATAACAAAATAATGATATGTGAGTCAATATACAACTTCCTGTTCGGAAGGCAGTTGAAAGGTGAAATTTCAGTCTATGCAGTATGCATCTACCAAATGACTCATATTTAAAGATTTATTTTATGTTACAAAAGCAATCTTTACTGAGTAATTTATTAGGTATTATTATTTCTATGAGGATAACAATATTTATTATGCATAACACTTTCGTAATAAATTAATATTTAAAACAATTTACATAATGGATACATGTTTACGAACTACTTGTACCTAAGCTTTTTTTTTTTTTAGTTTTTGCATCCCTACAAATATTTGTTGGTAAAATAAGTAGGTAGAGTACTTACAACACCATTAAAATATAATTGCATACACCTAAATATCAGATGGAATGGTATTAAATAATAACGTACTTATCAAGAAGACAATTTTATCATTAAGTAACTCAAAAAACTTGTCACTTATTAAATGTTAGAATTAATTATTTCAAACTTAAGAACAATACATTAGAGTACACAATATCAATAATAATTAACTCACCTTTATCAAGTGTTGATTCAACATGTTCTTCAATGGCAGGTCTGATATCGTTCGTAGCCATTTTGCTTAAAATTTTGCTATTTAATTATCTGTATCTTTGCATGACCCAGCAACTTCAATCAATTTAATTGATACTAACTCATTGAATCGTCGACTATAGCCTTCGCTGATATTAGATAATAGTGCAAATTGAGTTTCGTAACTAAATTGCGAGTTGTTGGTGTCTTGATCAAAAGCTCTGGCGACAACACGAAATCCTTGTTTATTCAAGAGCACACAAAACTGTTGATTTTCAGGTGTTTCGATATTTAAGTATACACCATCAGAAACTGTCAAGGGCGAAATACTAATATGATTCAACAGGGATATCTCGCTATCAATCACAGACTTTGCTTCAGCGTGCCAATCAAGTGGATTTTCCATGTAAGTGATTCACCTGAAACACATACAAAAAACTCATTAAAGTCTAGGTAATGACAATCAAGATGAACCAGTTTAAGCCAAGGTTAACAATGTTTTGCCTAACCTAAAAAAAATGTTTTAAGTTGAAGGACGCAATCAACTTAAACATAGAAAACATAAAAATATGTAAACGACGGCCAAACCAAAATCAACAATAATAAGAGGCGGTCGTAAAGCTGAGCACATCGTTAGAATATTAAGATGCACACAACAGATTTAGTGAACTAGGCATAAGTAGGCAGAATATTGAAGACAGGGCAAAACGACTTACGGGTGGGTGTTTTGTTCAAAGGTCGACCAGGTAATCTAAAGGAAAGGGCGGAAACCGTGGTACCGTCCGTTTTAACGCGAAAAAATACACGACGAGTAAATTCTATAACAGAACATTTTTGCGATATTTAAAAAACGCATAATAATAATAACATTATACAATAACTAAGTATCTACAAAATAATAACAGAACCCGAAAAATTATCACTAGTCTTCATGAATCACAGGTGTTGATAATAGGAACGGTTTCGGGTGTTGAAGTTAGCGACGATCGATGATGAACAATTTTCCACTTTTTTTCTTTTCAAACCACTGACTGTCTGCCGCCGCCGTCACCACCGGTCTGCGCGGGTTCAGCCGGATTTCATGTACGCTTGCGCATCTCGGTCCCACTTCGCACAATATTAATATTATTTCGCATTCGCACCGCCGCGAATAATATTATAAATTATAATAATATAATGTATACGTCGAACGAACTATTTTTTAAGTTTGAAAACTCTAAAAAAAATGTAAATGTAAAAATTAAATATTGAAAGAACATGAAAATTTTTCGGTTGTACCCACAATTTTTTATACAATACATACCCACTTGTTTTATGAATAATATACTTGCGATGTACCTATACCTCTGACATGAAAACGAAACGATCGACGATTTTTCGAGATCACAGCGCACTACGCCCCGACGGCCGCGAAATACACCAATACGACCTACCTACCTATATTCTAATATGAAGTGTACGTATGTCGAACCGTACGAAAATCGTAAAAAACGATAACAATATTACGACCATATGAATAATCTAAGAAAAAAAAAAAGAACAAACTAGATCACGAGATTTGGTCGATTTGAATATTTCTCGTCACGTAATACTTACGGTCGAACGACGTGCGACTAGCCGCCGGGACTAGGTACGCTGCAGTGACTATGCATTACGCACGACTTAAAAAACGGTAAATGGGCGTACGGCTCTCTGTACGTAGGCAATGGACAACCAAACCAAATGCAGCACCTACGACCTACCTCTCGGCTTCGGCTCTCACAGTACACCCGGGTAACCGTATACCTAGGTAGTACTGTAGTAGTAGGCACCGACATAGAAAGTGTCTGCGTTAAATAATAATAATAATAATGTCATGATTGTACCGCAGCAACATCGGCAACGACCTAAAACGTATCCGAATACTATATTAGATAGCCGGCTATCAAGGTTAGCTAGGTGCCTAGGTATGCCATGGCGTGCGTCTCATTTTGTTATAATATTGTCGACTCCGTGCGATGGCACCTGAACCGCTGCAGTTAGTCGTATGAATTAATTGATCGATAATGCGATCGTAAAAAAATATATTATTAATATGATGTTGTCAAACGGCACCGCACTCTTAAATTAATATAACTACATTTGGTAATGTAGCGGTAAGGTATCATTGGTAGGTAATCCGGTAATCGTATATGATACGGTATATAGGTATAAATGTATAATCTATACTCTCTATATATATATACATATACATATACATATGTATACATATATGTGCATATGTATATCAATATATTATGTATATTAAATACTACGATACACCGAAATAGTAGATACCAGCAACGACCTAGCTATTATACTGTTGTAGGGGCTTATAAAGATAACGACGTGGTCTAAATCATAGACCTATAAAGAATTTTATTTTTTAATATGCCTATAGGTAATCCAATTTATATTATTATTTTTGTTTATGGAGAGAGAAAGATAATACTTAATCGCTATGCTAGAAAAGCCGCAGTGCCTTACGTGTTTTCTTGAACAAACATATTTTATAAATATAATAATAATATAATAGGTACAGCATACAGATAGGTAACAGCGGTAAATGTAGGTAAGTAGTATGGTACCTACCCATAGTATTATATTATTATAATTTATCATACTGTTGCCATCACCGGATAACATCATGCACTATAATATACACTATACAGAAAGATTAAACGATTTTTAAGCCGACTATGATATATATCATGTAGGTACGTGTTTAGTATTATATTTAGCAGTTAGCTGCATTTATCAAATATAGTTGATCACATATTAGGTATTTTTTTACTACGTTTTCTGTAAAATATATTTTCTACCATTGACTATAATAATTACAATAAAACTAATGCATATTTTATACTATAATTTATAATTAATACATATATCTCGGTCATCGTTTTTTTATAACATTTATGGTTTATCAATGAATCACTCGTTAAGGCGTTATCATACGTATGGAGGACGCGAAAATAAATCCTCATACTTTGATCTTATTTTTATAATCCCCAAAAATATATATTTTGTGATAAATGATAGTTGATAAATCGTTTTTAGTTCGTTGTCATTTTTCATAATATGTTATTTAATATAATTAATTTAAATTGTATAATACTTTTTCATCTACTTAAAAAACAAGTTACATTTTACCTTGACTCAGACATTCAAATCATTATTGTTAAACTTAGAATATGGCAGGCAAACTACTGAAAAAAACTTCGTCTACTCCTGAGAGAAAATTGTCATGGACTACTTCAGGCCCGTGAGCAAGGGGGGGGTTTTGGGGGTTCAAATCCCCCCCCCCATGGCCGAAAAATCGTGTTTTTCATGTTTGATCTATTAACTATATGTCATATTTTCTAATCTTAATTGTAATAAATAATAATGCATAACATAACAGTACAATACTATAATAATATAATATAGTGTTGTCTTCACGTTTGCTGTTTATCGACTTTCGTAATCGTTGCCGTTATCGATAAAATATAATGACAATAAATGTATGAATATAAGTATAAAGCATACACGTCACACAATAATATTTTATTCGACCGCAATTAGTAGGACACGAGATTACACGATAACGGATTTAGGGTATTTTAAAAGTTGTTTATAATTATAGTTCATACAAAACGATTGTAAGCTCACAGTGAGACGTTAGTTATAGTGTTACGTTAGAAATAACATAAAAATGGACATTCGAAATTTTTTCAAAAAACCACGGCTAGAAAATGATGAGATAGTAAGTACATTAAAATTAATTATAATTTATAAATATAATTTATTTATTATTTATTAAAAAAATGATTTGTATTTTATAGTAGGTGTTGTTCAAAAACACATTTAACATAGGTACTTACAAAATTAATAATAAATATAAATATGTTATAATACTATTTGCTAATTATTGATGTATCTATGTTATAAATTTTTTTTTTCAAAACACCCCCCATTCTGAAATCCTGCGCACGGGCCTGGACTACTTACCTATGCAATTTGTTATAGTAGTATAAAATTACTTGTGTAACTTATGATTTTTATTATTTTAAGGTAATTTTTTTAAAACCGTCTAAATGGGTTGATATTATTGTCTGTTGGCCATTCATAGAAAACTGGTAATTAATCCCAAAGAAATTCTTAATGTTTTAAAATCCGTAAAAATAGACCTAGGTTCACTTCTATGATGGGCGTCACCGTTTTCGGAAAAAATGTACCCTCCCCTTTTCGATCAGTGTCACTTTTAGGCAAAAATGTACCCTTCCTTTTTCGGCCACTGTCCTTTTTCGACCGGTACCTATTGTATTTAATATTGTGCTTCGAAAGCGTTTGATTGCTCTGAAAGCGAGAATGTAATACACATAAACCATGGTCCATAAAGAAAGAATTTAATTGATAGTCAACTAGTCAATACAGCTTGTTAAAGAAAAGCTGAAGAGGATCTTCATGGTAGACCAAATAAAATTATTATGCAGGAAATATGTAAGGCCTCGTCATTGAATACCAATATATTATAGACGTTAAAACAATAATCAAAAATATTTCCACCTCATATTGGGCTGCTGCGTCAGCAAGTCTGACTAGAACTACTAATGTAAGCGAGTCGTTCCACTTATTTTTTAATCAAAGCTTTTTTAAACATACTCCATCCATAATGATTGATGGTCAGCTGTCTTTATTAATGAAGTTCAAACAAATATTGAGATATATATATAAAAATTAGAAATACCTATCAACATTTTAAAAACACCTCGTGATGCAAAAAATGTGGAACGGCGAAGGTGAAATGAGGCTTGCATTGAAGATTACGAAAATTGTATGATAGGTCGTTATTAATTTGTCAAACAAATATCACACTGTATGATAAAAAAAATAAAATTTAATCTTAATTTTTGACATATTCATGAATAAAAATGTTTATATCATATTAATTACTAGTCTTCAATAACATTATAGTTTACGAAATGAATAGTTAATTCATATTTGAAAGGAAGATGGAAAAAACTGACATAATAAAAAAAACGAACTGGTCAGTAGAGTTGGTTAAGTATGTAGAAGCCTGTAGGAACAGAGTATAAAAAAAAATATTATTTAACTATTGAAGTTTTTCTACAAAGCCTCAATAAAGGATTAATATTTTCCTGATTTCTCATTTCCTATAAATGTATACAATTTTTCCTCATTTTTCATTTTTCGTGAAACCTATAACTTTTGGAATTGTAAACTGAAAACACAATATGTACGGTATATGTATTTAAGTGACTGGTCGAACGTTATATGGTAATTTTATGAAAGTTGCAATTGTTTTGGTGATGACGCGTGACTTTGATGTATAAAAATAAAACCAATTTACATTAGATACCTATTATACACTTGAAGTTCCTAATAAATGTAGTTGAAGCGTGCAGAAAATAATATATATTACCAACCGGCCACCCTTAAAATATTTAAAACCCTGCAACGATGACGACCGTCTTTAAATCACACGCTGCCAAAGTAATAAAATGATTTTTAGTCAAAAATTACATAGTTTGTCGTTGATTATAAAATTTGATAATACAAAATATACTTATATTATAAATTAAATTATGTAGTCTAAGTCGTCCAGTTTATACGTGACTATAGTAACTAGTACATACGTACCGGTTACCTGGTACCTATATTGTTACCTACAAAAAAAAATAATACCACATACCTTGTACTAGATATTTAGAATTACACAGGTAGTCCAGTTAAAAAATATTAGTCTTGGCTTATATTTTATACATTTATATAAATATTAATTAATACATAACTATCAAAAATAATCATATGATTAGTCAATAAAAAACATTTGATAATATATTAATTACAATTATAGATATATATACAGGATGATTGAGTGGTTCACTGCGCATTCTCAACCCCTCCCCTATTTCGTACATTTAAAAATGTGTTTATTTAAATTCTGGTTTTTGGAATTTTTAAATATACTCAAAGATAATATTTTTAAATTTTTGAATTTATTCATACCTATTACATTTTGTTAAAAAGTCTTCTTTTTAGTGGAAATTTTTTTGAAAATGTTGATGTACCTAATTCAATATTTCAGTATTCGCAAGAGTAATTGATATTTTATTACCCATAGAAAGAAACATTAAACCTATAATATAATTTATAATTATAATTATGACATTAAAAAAAAACCCTATAACTAAAAAATATACAGCTTAATTAATTAAAATAATGTTGCAATTTATAGTAAGTAGGTACATTATAGTTTATATCGTGCCTCATGCGCGTTTTGTATACAATATAGAAAATATAGTAATATTATAATTTTCCAGTTGAGTTTTTGGGCAGAATCCAATGTGTACAGATAAAAATGTGTTAAGCGGAATTAGGCGTAGTCAAGGACAATTACAACGAAGCAATATATTGTATAGGTACCTACTATATATTACTATAGGTATAAATGTATATTATATATACTTATTTTATATTTACATACATACGAACTTAATGCAATATTTACAGATGATTTTATTATGTATTCGTGTATAAAATACTACTTTTGTTTTCGTTTCATTCGTTGTTAGTTACAACAAATATTTATTATTAATCACACACATCGCTTATTCGCGTAGGTATTTTTATAGCCTCATGGGTTTATTTAATAAAATGCTCAAAAAATATATTTTTGATATAGTTGCACGACTACTGCATGTATCTATACTTATACTTAGTAATAAGGTACCTACAACCTACGCTAAACCTGTAAGTTATGAAAGTCATTTAAAAGTACATCGAAAAATAAATTAATAGTTATTTGATTTGATGTTGAACGAGCAAGTAAAAACACAATTACAAATACAGTCCAAAAAAAAAACAATTTTACCTACTTATAAATTGCAATACAGTGACTCTGGTAAAATCAAACTCTCTTAGTCTCTTGTATACCTACATCGTATGTACATCAGAAAATAATACTCCTGTCTCCTGCTCGTTGTTTTAACTTTGATTTGAGTGGTAAAAGGCTTCCTGTTAGGCAATCTAAAATATTATGTCCGCAAACGTATTTAATAATTTAAAATAATATAGAAACCTATAGAATATTACAT